CCCGCTCAAACGCTGATACAGATCGATAATAGCGATGACGTCATCGTCAATACCTGTGAAATGGTCGATGAGGACGCTCAGCGGCGTGCACCTGACAGTTTCCACGGCCTTCCTGTAGACGCGGGCGGTAATGCCGAAGCTACCCCTGCCGAACCTGTAGCCCCACCTGCCGTACCAGGACCCTCCGTAAGCAACGCTGTGGAGTAGGCGGAACTCCAGCGACCGCTTCTTCGAGACATCCTCCACGCTCACTTTCCTGAGAACAACAGAGACGTCCAAGCGCGCTGCTGAGAGAGACGAAAGAGCAAACACTCGACTCAAACAAACAAGGTGGGACTTGGTAAAACGAACACACACACAAGAAAGAAGGAAAGATAGAAAGAAAGAAAAAAAGAAGTGAAGAAAGAAGGGGAGAAAGAAGGAGAGAAAGAACGAAACAAAGGGATGCTAGTCAAAGAGAGGAGGGACGGAAAAGAGAAGGGAAGTCAAAAGAACCGGTTGGCAAAAAACAAGGGCTTTTCTTTTTTTTTTTCAAGGGCACATATTTGGAGACATAGGTGTTTTTTTGAGAGGACCTCCACTGACGGTGGTGACAAGAGCGCAGCCCTCAGAGGGGGAACCTCCAATGCGAGATGGCTCACTGTCGCTCACATCTATTGGTGGGGGAAGCTGCACCTGGTCCTGCTGGAAACAGGATCCAACGTCCCACTTACCAAATATGAGTTTTTTTATTCGCCTTTCACGCCGGAAGTCTGTGCCGCTACGTTCACGTTATTGGAAGGCCTCTCTACTCTACTCATTTCCTTCCAGTGCGGGTGTTCGTTATTCAGCTCTCTCCTTTCGCCACTGTGTACACCGGCATTCTTGTTGAGCTGGGTGATCGAGTGTTCTCTTTCAAGTTCTCTGGAAAATGTGGGTGCTAGATAACGCCAACGCAATACCGAGATAAACACGGAGTTCAAGCAAAAGAAAATTTGCATGAGTGCGTCGAAGGTGAGAGAGAGAGAGAGAGAGAGAGAGAGAGAGAGAGAGAGAGAGAGAGAGAGAGAGAGTCTCAGAGAGATGCCTAGAGAGAGAGAGAGAGAGAGTCTCAGAGAGATGAGTCGAGAGAGAGAGAGAGAGTCTCAGAGAAGAAGAAGAAGGTAAGCAAACGCAATACCGAGACAAAAACGGAGTTCAGCCAAAAGAAAATTTGCGTGAGTATGTGGAAGGTGTGGGGGAGAGAGAGAGAGAGAGAGAGAGAGAGAGAGAGAGAGTACCAGAGAGGTGAGTAGAGAGAGAGAGACAGTCTCAGAGAGATGAGTAGAGAGAGAGAGAGTCACAGAGAGAGAGCCACAGAGAGAGAGTCTCACACACACAGATAGAGATGAAGAGAGCGTACCGCGCTCGAAGCATGGTGCAGATGCGATCCCACAGATCCATGAGCTCCCTGCCACTTAGGTATTTGGAACCCTTCTCGCGACCGTTGATTCTAGTGAGATGACCGTAGCCGTTGGAGTGGAATATACCGTGGAGCAGATGGCTCTCCAAATCGAAAAAACTCAGCTGCCCGGTCTCTATGCCGCAGAACGTGCAGACCAGCATGCTGGACGGAACTATCTGATCGCAATGGGGACATATGTTCCTCCCTTTCCCGAAAAACGGCGCGTCGTACACATCCCCCGCAGGCAAAATGAAGTGATATCGCTTATTTGATACTGGATGATGACTCCAACCTGCACTGGCCCAGTCACACACAAAGTTTGCAGCCAAGAAACCCAGAATTACGTTTCTCGTGATTTCCACGACCAAGGACCCTATGGTTTTCTGAACTTTTTCATCATCGGATTCCCATCATCACAATCATTGTCATGCATCAGCATCAGCATCAGCGTGATCGTCATCAGCAAAATCATCATCATCATCATCATCAAGCACACGTGGTTAACCAGGGTTTTTTTTGGCCGAATTTTGTCGTAATAATAGTCGTATTGCCCTGATTTTTTTGCTCTCTTCTTGTTTTTCTTAATGTGTGATATGCAGGTGCTTTAGGGTACGCCATGTGTCCCAGCTTTGACATGTTTGGATCAATCAATCATGATTCATGAACAGGTTGGCATTTCGTTGAATTCCTTGGACGCTTTCATTCAAAAGTGTTTTTGTGTTAGGGTTTTATAGTCTTTTTGTGTTTTTTTCTTCGCTCTCTTTGACCTGTTTGATTTTTCGATGTTTGCACCATGGGCCGAGCAGCCCCAGCCCCAGCCCCAGCACCAGGACCAGCACCAGCAGATTCATCCCCCTTCAAGCGCTGTGGTGAACATTAGCAGCATTAGCTTCCTTGAAGCTCCTGATGATGACGGAGTCACGGGACCGGTTTACATTAGCTCCCTTCAGGGCTCTTCAGGCGTTCGTTCAAACAAGCCGTAGAGTGAAGCGTCCGCCGCCTAGACGATGTGTGTGTTGCTTTTCCTTGGAATGTTTCAGTGCAACGAGTTGTTCTGTGCTGTTTACACTCTTGATAGAGGGGTTTCCTTTGAATAAGTAAGCTGTCCTGTGACACTCTTGTGTGCTTGTCACTTGTTGGTCAGACAGCAAAAAGAGTCGGTTCTGTTTTGGCCGCGCTTGTTTCGGAGATCTCTGGGCGCTTGTTCCGGTCAGCCGGATACCTCACGTCACGTGGCCTCAACAGTAGCACTCGGTGACTCTACCGTCTTCACCGGAATAGACCTAAGACCGCCCGGTCATTGTGCCTGAAAAGGAATGTGTGCATTGGTGTATCTTTCGCTTTCCATGCTCATGCTACATGCTGTTTAGCTGACCAGTACTTTCAGTTCAACAGGGGCTGTTGTGGTGAAAATTCACACACACACACTCACAGAGAGAGAGAGAGAGAGAGAGAGAGAGAGAGAGAGAGAGAGACCAGCGGGTTGGACACCTACGGTAGGGCGGCATGAGTTCCAGATAGAGCCAACTGTTGGCGCCATGGTTGCTTTGTCTGGAAAGACCCGGACGGTCCGGACCAATCACCGAATTGCTGCCGTGAAAGGTTAACTAAATACCTACGCTGACCCGGTCAGGGTCTGGACTGTGCGAGTGCACATCATGCGCCTGCCCGTCTGCACCCTGTAGGCTGTAGGTGCACTGTGACAGGGTTTACGGAACAGGGTTTATGGTGATTTGGATCCGGTGGGTGAGCATTTACCATTCAAGAAACTAGGCCGGTCTGTAAGAACCGTCTATTCCGCTTATACTCGTAGTAACCACCGGTCCACTGTAGGGATCGGACTACGGTATAGTGGCACTGGCTACGTTAAGTACCTACCTACGCTACCGTCTGGTGTCGCCAATTCTGCAGATGCCTGCTGCCACCATCTTGATCTGCTGCGATTTCCGGTACGAGATTGAATGGTTTGAATGCTTAGAAAACCCATACGTTTACTACTCCGTCCCCGAATACGGATTCCGGTCGGTCTGTATTACATATAAGCGGGCTATGCCTCTGAGCTTGTGCAGCTGCCTCTTTCCCGGCATTGTACCCCTTTACCTGCATCAGTTTGGTTGTGCCTCTGGTGATTCGCCCACTGCTGGATGGTCACAGTAAGGTTACTTGTGGGTGATAAAATGAACAAGAGAAGAGTTAACAGGCAGAGATTGGTGGAAAGCTAAGGCTAAGTAAGAAGTATCCCATTCATTTCCTGGTGTTCATTGACTTGACCTTACTAGGGGCGTGTATTTCTGCAGTGTTCTATTCGCTTCGCTTCATCCACTTTACCACCACGACAGCCATGAGATTCCCGCGTAGTTGGAGACAACCTTCGACTGAGGGCCTAGTTGCACTACTCTCCATCCGCCAACACCTGGAATGCATTTGGACAGGTTCCGGTCGATGTGCATTCAAAATATTGGCGGATGGCGAGTAGTAGTGCAACTAGGGCCTTACTCCTCCAGCACTAACAACCAAACAAACAAACAAACAACCGACGTTAAAACAAACAAACGAACAAACGACTGATGTTCATTTGATGTCGTTAGCGAGATTACCAACTACTAGGGCATCGATCGATTGAGGTCCTCCGTGCACTTACCAACACAACGACAATGATCGCAGTGTAGTCGACGAGAATACTCGACTTGCTCCTCGATCACTAGGAACTGAAATCGTGACCCTTCCTTTGTCTCCATGATCAGAGTCCAGGAGGCCATGCCATCAAATGTAGACGAACCCACCTGCTCGGCATGTTCCTCAAGAAATGTCTCTATGTTCTGCGGCGAGAAGCGGAAAAGCACAAATACAACAAGACACGTTTAGACAGATGCATACAGTAATATCTCCAAATTGTGAGGCAGAATCTGACGGATGCTGCTTAATGGACTCTGTAGTTTCTTCCCCTTCTACTCCAACATCTTCCATGGTGTGCATGCACGTTTGCCCCCATAGCGCCCACAGAATCACACTCTGCTACCCGTAATAATGGAGCATGATGTTGGGCCTTTGTTGGGTTGGCTTGGCTTGGCTTGGCTACATGGGAGTTGTCTTGGCATTTACTTTCTTAAATCTTTTGCTCTTCTATTCTGACCCCTCCGCCACCTTCTTCTAGTCTCTTCCCTTCCCCTTTCTTTCTCTTTTTTCTATCTCTACATACAATGATAGCCTGTCGTTGCGTGAGGCTCTATTGGTGTGATGATCGTTTCATGCTCGTCTCTCATACATAGCCTGTCGTTGCGTGAGGCTCTGCTGTTGGTGTGATCATTTGAGGCTCGTCTCTCAATGGATTATTCCAGAGTGTTTAGAGCTGATGAGGATTAATCCTTTTAAACATTAATAATAATAATAATAATAATAATAATAAATTAAAAAAAATAACGAGAAATTCATGTATTCAATTCATGTCATTCACACACTAAGTGGGTAGAGCTCCGGGGACAAGCTCCACCAAACGGATCACATAGAGCAGCCGTAATAACTTCGAACAGTGCCTAAAAAATAAATAAATAAATAAATAAAAATCAAACACTGCAACAGACAGTTACATACTTAGACCCGATTCATCAGCTAACAGCCATTTAGTTAAAACTTAAAACTGACATATTCTTACCATTTTGCTAAATTGCGCTTCCGAAAAAAAAGAAACAATACTTTTGAGCATTTTTCTGTGGACCCTCTGATGGTCCGACATCCCAGGTCGCTGGATGTATTTGCACGGCACTTTCCGTACACATACATTAGATAGCCCTGTGCCTTGGGGATGAAAGCCGGCCAATTGTCTGGTCATCTCCAATGACCTTGGAAGGCTACCAGAGTCGGCCGGAACCACTTCACCGACCGGGCCAAAATATTAATATTAATGATAATAATAATAGTAATAGTAAATATGGTCTAGAATCTCGATGTGACCCTGAGGCAAAAGTTGCTCAGTTTATTTTTCTGCATAACATAGTTTTTTCCCGTATTTTTTAGACGTTCTTGGGTCTTTTTTTTTTTTTTTTTTTTGCTGGGACCTTCCCCGGTCGGACTGGTCCTTGCACGGCCGGCCGGGCCGCCCAGGCAAACAAGGTGCTCCGGGCGGCCCGGCTGGTAGCCTAGCTGGGAACCCAAAATCGCTGAAACGTATCCTTTGGACCAGTCGGAGTCTAAAGGGTAAGGCTGCGCTGAATGCGGCGTAAAGGAAGGTGGCTGCAGCTAGCACACCCGTGAGGAGAGAAACGAAAGTGGAGCGGAAAGGCAACCAAGGTAGATATGGAGCCAGTATCTGAGGTTCAGTGAGAACGAGACTATAAGCTAATCCGGAGGGAGACTCTGAGCTTCAGCGAGAAGGAGACTAGAAGCTAATCCGGAGGGAGACTCTGAGCTTCAGCAGACGGGAGGAAAGGACCTGGGCAGCAGCGTACCAATGCAGTGAAAAGACGAGCTGCAGCGCAAAAGGAGACAAGCTAGCGCGTAGGTATGTTGCCAGTATCTGAGGTTCAGTGAAAAGATGAGCTGCAGCCCAAAAGGAGACAAGCTAGCACGTAGGGGTATGGAACCAGTATCTGAGGGAGACTCCG